GTTTGTCTATTTCCAGGAAATTTAGCTCACGTCAAAGTCGCAAACTCGTAATCGTGTTATATTGTTTTTATTAACTTTTTAAGATTATTTTTGTCTTTGGATAAATGTTTAATGTTACGAGAGAGCGTGCAATAATTATCAATTACGGCCTTCAATAGTTGAGATTGAGGCACAAGCTGATAGCGTCAGGATTGTGACATAAAGTTAATTGCGATAGGATCGTGGCACAAAGCGAATTGTGCCAGGACAAAGTAAACTGTGCCTGGATCATGGCACAAAGTTAATTTTGCCAGGATCGTGGTACAAAGTGGTTATACATTGTGCAAACTAAAGTGAGGATCAATAGATGTAGGTTATTGTGAAGCATTTGATTGATTGTGAGATTGCATGTGAGACGAAGTTAAGTCCGGATGGGCATATTCGTTGAGAATCTACAACAATTAAAAGCGCCTTGAAAATATCTAGGACAAAGACTTTGAACTTGAGAAACGATTGACCATAAACTGCTTTTTGTATTGTGAAAATGTTAATTTTCGAAGATAGCAGATAAAATACGTTTTCAAGAAATTAAATACTGATAACCGCATCAAGAATTTTGCTAAAAAATGCTGCCTTCATTTTAAAATAGGTGCCATAATGCGCTGGAATAACAATAACTAATAACTTGTAGTCTTAATAATAATTACTAAAAATAATTGAAAATGATAGTAATCTTGTTACTTTTGTGCTTCATAATAATGCTCTAGAAAATTTTTTTATAAGTAATTTGAGGTAACTAGATTACTAATTTCAACTTTAAAATCCTAAGAATATCAAATAAATACCGCTATTCTAATGCTATTTCCGCTCGTTTCTAATCTGGAATATTAAGCAGCAAAGCAGGTATAGGAAAAAATATCATGAAATTTATCTTGACTTAAAGTTGAAAGGTAAAATGTTGGGGAAAAATCCAATTAAACATTTCGTAAACTGTGGTTGTTCAGTGGTCAAAGGTTAATCATCAATGAAACTACAACATGATAAAAAAACTATGCCGGAAGCCGAAAACAAAACAGTTCTTCAATCTTCCATGACCGGACCCTGAATTGGCTTGTGGCGAAAACAAACAAACAGTCCAGATAGCAAGCGTCTAGAAGATTTTCTAGACGACCCAACCTTCTATCGAGCACCAACTTTCCCGTCGTCTGATAACCAAAAAAAATTCAACCGTAATATCATAGTATGATGGAAACAAAATAAATCCAATACGAGCACAAACAGAGAAAAGATCAAAAGCAATTTATGTTTTTAAAGGAGTTGCTAAGAAAATGTACAAGAAAAGGTTTAAAATGTTAAATTATTAAAAATTATTAAAAAATAAAGTAAAGTGATTAAATTTTATAATTTATTATTCTGTTCATTCGTGTAGGCATCTTGTCATTGCGGCATGTGTTGAAGAACTTGGACTTCCCGGTTGCATTCCCGGTCATTCTGCATCGCTACTTCTGTCATACAGTTTTGCACTATGAAGTTGGCCTTGATGATCATAGCTGCAAGTGCTGAATAGATAGTTCTTTACGCGCATTAATTAATCTCACCACTCGACCTGTGTTGAAAACTATAGGATTGTTTGTATGACTGCAACGAATTTAGAAATTCTGTCGATTTTTAGAATGTAAGTTTGAGTTCGATCGTTTTTTTAGAATATTATTCAGGAACGTAATTATTTCTGCAGAAGCTTACCTGGTCTGATTATAACGTGATAATAATACATACGCTGTTAAAAAGTTGAATTTTGCAACACGAACAGTTTTGTTTGATGATGAACCTGGCAATGAGTCTCGAGTAAAAATTGCATGTCATTGAGATGCGATGGTTTTGCGCTCCGTCATTCTTGTCAGATTTTAATCAAATGGGAAAAAGTAGAGTAACTTGTTTTTTAGAGGTCGTATTTACGACTCGAACAAAAAGAGAAAACCCAGCAATCGAAAGCAAAAATCTTAACTTTCATCCTGGGATTAAATTACTCAATCTTAAAATTGGTCGCATCAAAGTTTTGTTCTCAATTCATTTTACCTTCCATGAGAGCACTTCTGATTATGAAAAAACTGGCATGGATTGCACGTATGACAAATGTCATATTAGAACAATTTGAAGTTGCGGCTGCATAGAAGCTGCATTCAGCTAATATTTGTATGCATTTTTGTTCGAATAATCAGCTTTGCTTTCAGCTTTATTCCAGAGCTGGTGAGAAGAGCAGATAATAGTATATTTTTAGCTGCTTTTAAGCACGCTAAAGCTCATGCAACTCTAAATTATTTATGGAAATGTGTTGGTTTTCAGTCTGCCTAGCCGCTTGCCGGTTAGTGCCTGGCAATTAATATTAAGTACTTATATATTATCGGGCTCTAAATTATCCCTGAACAAAATATTGGTGGCAAAAATTTGAAAAATTTCCCAGCTTCATGGAATTCGGTTCTTGTATACAATCCATCCTCAAGGATCGCTAAAGAATCTCACCAGTTTGTTGAACAAAAAAAAAACTAAATTATTTTCAAAAAAATAAATTTTCAAAATTCGGTAGTCTACGGACTTGTCAGCAAACATTTCACTACCTAGGTATCCTCCACATACATACAGGCAACTGAATAACATTATTCACGCTGGAGTGTCACAATATGTTAAAAACTTTTTTAGGATACTAAGCATAGTATCTGGTAGCATTGAAAATTTGGCAAAGTGGCTCACACGTCGCCCAGTTCGTGCCGAGACTTCGTTATCATGACAGCAATCATCAGTTCTACTCCCAACATTACCCCTCAGTATGTCTAACATTTGATATGTAAGCGTTTGGCCAAATATTAACGTCCCTATACAATAAAATTAGCACAATTTGTGTTATCTTACATTTTTCTCAACAAAATCTCTTTATCATGTCATATTAAAGTGGTTAGGCAGATCTTATCTATCCATACCGATTAAACATGGCCAATTTTTTAACCGTAATAACAATGTTTGACCAATTCGTGGATTATTTCTTTTGTGTTTATTAAATAATAATAAGGAAAGTTCAAAGAAAAGTAATCAGTACGGAGTACAAGTTGGCTTCAGTGAACTTGAAAGCGAGCCACGATTAACCATCAGTTAATTCAAAAAGTTATTCATACAATAGTCCATAGGTGACAAAATCAATCAAATTCATGCTGCCAATGCACAGTGAAAAAGCGAAGGAAATCCTCGTGACAGGTAATGTTTGCTGCAGGGTCATTAACGTTTACACCAGAAAACGCATTCCGGAAACGGCTGAATTGAAACTGCTGAATTTGAAGTTAAAAGTTACCGATGCATATTGTATTTCAGAAACGACTGAACGGATATTTACGCAATAAAACCGCATTTTTGCCCTTGTAAACTGATTACATTTTTTGGTTGAGAGAAATTTTTAAGTTGAAGTAAAAATGTATTCATATTAACTATTATTGTACATGTTTTGCAGGACTAACTGACTGACAGACGCTTGGTTAAAGCTGGCGTATGCAAGGAGACGTTTGGGTGAGCCTCGTACAGTGTTTTGGTGAGCATCGTACCCATACACTCGCTTTTCTTCACGGTATGTTAAGGCTCGTTCCCTCTGGAAGTTATGACTTACTTTCCCGCGTTTCCGCGACGCTGGTATTCCACTTCACTCGCATGCTTCCGAGTTTTATTGTGGCTCGTACCCCCGATTGTCGCGTCTATAATATCTCAGTAGGTGGAACAGGAAGCCCCAACGCCGGCGACAGAATAATAAGTTTAAAATTATAATCTGGAGATGTATGTTAGTATATAGTTACAATATAGAGATGACGATGGTCGACGCGCTCTGATTTCGAAGGATAAAAAGTATCTGCCTCCGGTTGAATAAATTCTGCTGCCCATGTAAGAAGACTCTTTGTAATATACCTCAAGATTACCAGCATGCAACCTAGAGCGTGTTTTCATCATCCACCAAAGCAAGGGAGTTTAGAGCTCAACTAAAGTGTCTCTCTTAACCTAATGCGTTTAGAATCAATACGCAAAACCCTGGAAAGTCGGCACGCAGCCTTAACTATTTACACCTTGCTGAGGTGTTTCCGGCTACAATAAACCAAACTCCAGGCAAAAATTTCAGTTCAGGTAATCTTCGGTTCACGTCTCTGACATCATTCCATATTGACTCCATGTTATTCTGTCAATTCGGGACAAATTTCTTGCATAGATTATCCTTTCCAATTCCCACAAAAATCCTTTGCACTCCTAGGTTGGTAGGATGTGAGCAGGAGTTTCAGTGGTTGGACAAGATGGATATTCATTTGCATAGAACTTCAGAGTATTGTAAAGATTCAGGTTGTGGGGAATTTAGTTGAACGATACAAAGCGCAATATAATTGAAATAAATGCTTTTAACCTTACATCAATGCGTATCCAGAGGAAAGCCGAGTTAATGAGAGCGCAAATTATTTTGAAACTGTGGTGGTTGAAGAAACTTTGGTTTGGTGGTTGAAGAAACATTGGTGGTTGAAGAAACTTTGGTGGTTGAAGAAATTTTGGTGGTTGAAGAAACTTTGGTGGTTGAAGAAACTTTGGTGGTTGAAGAAACTTTAGTGGTTGAAGAAATTTTGGTGGTTGAAGAAACTTTGGTGGTTGAAGAAACTTCTTTGGTTTGGTGGTTGAAAAAACTTTGGTGGTTGAAGAAACTTTGGTGGTTGAAGAAACTGTGGCGTTTGAAGAAACTTTGGTGGTTGGAGAAACTTTGGTGGTAGAAGAAACTGTGGTGGTCGAAGAAACTGTGGTGGTTGAAGAAACTGTGGTGGTTGAAGAAACTGTGGTGGTAGAAGAAACTGTGGTGGTTGAAGAAACTGTGGTGGTTGAAGAAACTTTGGTGGTTGAAGAAACTGTGGTGGTTGAAGAAACTGTGGTGGTTGAAGAAACTGTGGTGGTAGAAGAAACTGTGGTGGTTGGAGAAACTGTGGTGTTTGAAGAAACTGTGGTGGTTGAAGAAACTTTGGTGGTAGAAGAAACTGTGGTGGTTTAAGAAATTGTGGTGGTTGAAAAAAACAAGCCGGGGAAAATTATATTCAATTTAAAAAATTAGACCGTTTGACCATGAAGCAGCATAGAAAAAATATATCTCTCACATAGTTTATAACACTCAAGTAACGTCTAGTTAGAATCATTGAACGAAGCTTCAAGGTGAATAAAAAATTTATTAAATAAAAATATAAAGGGCTTTTAACAGTATATATATAAATCTCAAACCGCACATGATGTTTTAATGGATTATTTCTTGACATGCTTTAACAGTCGGTGTTGAACGTATTCCCAATCTAATAGTGACAGATATATTAAATTCCGTACGAGATGCCCTAGTACAAATTGCAAATACTATTTATGAGAAAATGGAAAATTTTTAGCAGCTACGTAGTCAAGAACCTAAATAAATTTTTCAGGTTTCAGCTTAGAAATGATACTAAGCAGTTTGGACTAAGAAATTTTTCAATTCCTGCAGTGAATTCATACGTTTTCAGCCGTCGTCAAGTTCAATTAAAAAATTCATAAGAACATACAAACCTGAAACCATCTTTAAAACACAAAAAAGGAATGCGACGGCAAAAATCGAGCAGCATGAATCAACGGGCGAGAAATATGAGTGAATCCGCAAAGGAGGTAATCCTGCTCATGTATGTCTGAGGTATATGTAAAATATATTTAAGTAACCGTGCTTACGACTTGAACGTACGAAATAATTACTGATGGAAATCGCCCACCACGTCGGCTGGTGGTCAATAATTATTGCAACAATTATCGAGCTATTTTTTACGACACAAGAAGACGTATGTAATAGTTTTAAAATTTCATTCTCTATGAGAGAGTATTATGGCATTGCAAAACTAGAAGGAATAGGTTCTATCCAAAATTAAAATTTTATTTTTAATTCTGTTCATGAGCAATAATTCATAAAACGGACATTTTTTCCGATTTGAAATGAGAGTTAGCTGGAATTCTATGTTCTTCGTAAAATTTGGGCTTCATTGGGGTTTTCTTTATTTAGTATAAATTAACCTTTGCAATTATTGTAGGTATTATGTGAATGGGGTATTTGGGATTACGGGATTCTTACATTGCTTGGATTTTCAATCCCGGGCAACGCCGGCTGGGTAATTATAATTCATCCCGAGCCATTTCCCTATTCGGATCTTCAGGATTTTTCCATCCACCATCTTTATCTTCAAGCATTTCCTCAGATGAAGCATCTTTTTTTTTCTCAGAGTCCGGCAGCGGGACCGCTTGCCTGTTCCCAGCGTCTGTTGTACCATGAGTGCTGTATTTTTCTGTCGCAATCTCCGTTAAGTTGGTCACCAACTCGGGAAACAGAACAAGGTTTATTTTCAGTGGAAGCTGTCGCCAAAATTCCCGAAGCTGAAAATATTAGACAACAAATAATATATTGGGTCTGAATGTGATTTTTAATCAATATTATATTATATTTTTGGCTTCGAGCTGAATTTTGCAAATATTGCTTGTAAGAATTTTTACACAATTTAGTTTAAAACCTGTAAAAAATATAACTCAGTACTCACTGCAGTGAGTGACAGAGAGCGCATTTTTTCGTCGACGAAAACGTGAAGTCACGGACAGACGGACAGACAGGCGGACATGACGAGCACAATAGCGCCTATTTTCCATAAATGAGAAAATGCGTTAAAAATAAATATATATGATAATTTGTTCGATATAATGGGTGTATTATACCGATATGAACAAACTACACTGATTTAAGTTGTCTCATGTCATAATAATGTTTATAATTAAACATTTAAATAATTTTTAAGACATAACAAATTTAGATTTTAAATCGAATCCACAGTGAAGTGATCTTCGTGCAGCTTGATGTTTTAAATAAATTCGTAATCACCCCTACTGCCATATTTACATACAATTTTGTTATCCCCAAGATTTTATCGATGGAAAGATAAATCATAATATATTACATAATTTCTGATCAGCCATCTAAATGTTTGTTAATTTCCTACATCAAATTCAAACCTCTTTCTTGGGGTCGGATTCATCCATCGCCGGAACCTGGTCTATGACGAGATGATGAGGAGAGTCGGTGGTGTAGGGTCGCCATTCAACAGGGTGGCCGTCGGGTGTGGGGTTTCTAGAAGAGGAAGGTTAGGTTAGGTAAAAAAACTTGAGAGAAACTTCAAGAACGAGATAGAAATAATTTTCCATGCTCGCCTTACTTTCGCGTGCTCAATCATTAAAAAATACAGCGATATCACCACACTCACTCACATCGGCGAGAAATGCAATGATTGACTGTGGTTGGAGCAAATTAATCATTTCACCCACTTGATAATTTGCATCGCTATAGAAGACTGGATATCTCCTTCAACGAACATATTCATATTACTATATTTATTTTGATAGTCTACCCAGTAATGGCGAAATTGGTCCACATATCGACCATAAGGTCTCTCATCGCGAGGTCTTCTGCCGACGTTAGTTCCGGCGCCAGCCACGGGTGATCGAAAGGACCCGAGAACAAATAAATCAAGTCCTCCGTGTGCTGCACGTCTTTAGAGAACATAAGGACATAAAAATTAGTAAAAAAATTGTTATTATAAAAAAATACATCAATGAGATGACAGATATGTATTTCAGTTTAGATTCGTGAACGATAAATTAAAAATTGACAATTAAAGTTATATATTTCATGATTTGTGCTCTGGCGCTGAATCTGCTAGTCTTTAGCTTCATTCTTCCACGAATTTCTAAATCTGATCCCGATTCAATTTTAACGCACGGAAATGTTTTGAATATACTTACAGCGCTTCTTTATGCCCATGTCGAATATGGAATCGCCGCGCGTCTTGGACAGGTAAGCGAACTCGTACACGAAGAGCTTCTTGCCCCTGCGCGGAGAGACCGGGTCTGATGCGAGGTAGTGCGCCAGGGAGTCGGACGGGTACCACATCAGGCGGTCGCCCAACAACTGACAAAAATTAAAGCTTTATCCTCTGTCATAAATTAATGAAAACTGTTCTTGAATTTTCTGGGATGTAAAGATTTATTTAGGAAAAAATCTTTATACTGCTGAAGTGATGAAAAATCAGATCGGATTTCCCACATCATTAAAATTTTAATGTTTTAGTTCACAGAGCGTATTAAACGTGATGGTTCAAGGCAGTAACAGTTTTCCGCCCATATGAGAACTCATCATTTAGGCGATGAAATGAACGCCAGCACGAACCATTAGAATGTCGAAATGGATCATTATCTAAAAATGAACCAAAAGACTTAATATAGTAATATAATATATTTACTAACTTATCAACATCCAGAAGCCAAGTGTACACGATTATCTGAAAAGTTTCTTACGGCAGTCAATTCGTCAAGAGATTCAATCTCGAAGTCCACGTTGCCCACATAACGGTCGAAAAGTTTGTTGGTCAGGTTCAGAGGGGCGACGTCACCTTCTCCAAAGTCCAGCAGCACCGGCGCTGTTTGCGAGAACTGGGTCCTCAATTTCGACCGGAGTGCTTCGTTCACGAATATTGCTGTGAGCGAAGTTATAATGTTATATGATTAATTTCTCTAATACCTCACCGAAGAATTTAATGGGTCATATTGTCCAGAAAGTGACACACTTTCATACCCAGAGCACGAGCATAGATCAGACGTAGCACCGATAAGCCCATTTGCCGGGCCAAACTGAGTCAGGATCATCCCCATGTGGGTAAAATGTGTATCGCTTTTTGTACAAAGTCTAACTCATAACGAGTGAAATAGTATTCTAGAATCACCAGTGTCAAAGAACTTCAGTAGAGACAATAGATTTGTTATAATTTTGCTCATATTTTATCACATGATGCAATGCGTCGAGGCAAATTATATTATTCATTGAATCAAATTCATCCTCACTTAATTTTTACAGAATAAGGTCTAACTATCTCAAGTTAGTACTAGCTGAGGTCCGAACACCAATGGAAACTGATTAATCTTCCATAAAATTCACTGGTAGAAAATTTGATTCCAAATATTGGTCATAATCTTATCTCAATATTACTTGCATTTTGACCAAATAGATCCTTCATCTTTGGTGACACCCAACATGATGTCGATCTTCTTGCTGCGATGCTCCTTCACGAGTTGCAGCGGATCTTTTAGCAGGAGGTTCTTATCCACGCGCGGGGCCATCAGTAGAGGGAACGATGCGACTTGCTGGATGAAAAGAACTAGATGAGTGGTTGGTAAGGATTGCAAGCTGTTGAATTTATAAACTTGTGTTTCATGAAGATACTCATGGAATTTTTGCTGCTAGCTATTATTCAAAATGATATGCAAGTTATATAACATGAGAGATGAGTTCAAATAGAAATATAAACACGTTTGAAAACATGTATGAAATGGGTACGAAAAAGTGTTATCACAATTTTTTCCCGTTAATTTTCTTCAGGTTCGCAGTTAATGTTACGCTTGCCAAGAGCTCCAGCTAAATCAAGCTTTTCATCGTCATTGAATTAATAGCAATTGACATTTTTCTTTTTTGAAGCTTTAATTTCCGCCGTCTTCGGCACTTTTTGAGTATTCAGTTGAATTACTTATTATGCGACCAAAACTCACCCAGAGAGCTGAGCTCAATTTTATTAGGGTCTCAGCTGAGGCGGCTCTCAGACACTTCAGTACGGCTGAAGAAGGCAGTTGGTCAACCAAGCAGCTCTCGTACTGGAAGGGATTATTTTCATCGCGAGTACACTTAATTTTTGGTTCAATATTACTGCTGGTGCCGCAGTCGAGGAGCTTGGCCATGTGGTAAGCGACCTCGCGGTGTTTGGGGGCTACAGCCCACGACGATATTGCGGTGCCGGACTGAATGATTGCTCGGTGGAAAAGTCCTGAAAGAGCAATCATTGCTGTGACGTCGCATCCATCAATGTATGCTTCTCAATAAAATGACTGAAATAAAACTGCTATAAATTTTGCATTGACTATTTCGATTTAAGATTCAAATGAAAACTAGCGTTCGAGCCACTTAAGCTTAATTTGAACGTACGACGTTAAGCACCATATAACCTCTGAACACATATACAGTAGGTTGTTGCTGCCTAAAGAATCTAGCCCAATTGAATGCATTATAGAAACTCTATTAACTGCTCTTTATATCGTCACCTAATGAAGCGTGAGAGAGCATCTGCAGATGCACAGAAGCGCCTCCTGCGCTCTCGCCGAATATGGTGATCTGCAGAGGGTTGCCTTTGAAGCTGGGCGCGTTCCTCTGCACCCAGCTGAGCGCCGCTGTTTGGTCCAGGATGCCCATGTTGCCTGGCGCTACGTCGTCTTCAGTCGATAAGAAACCTGAGGGAGATTTCTTGTGGATAAACATGTTTTAATAATTGACTCATAATTACTCCATTTCGAAACTAAGTAAACGAGTTACCACAGGATAATTATTTTATCTAGTTAATTAATTTAATTAATTAACTCTTTTAACTACCGGAAATACAATTTCCTATTCCCATCTTTCCATGTTTGCAATTTCCATGCAGGTACCAGGTTATGAGGGATCCCAATCTTGGAGAAAATATAATATTGCTGAATGTTATCTTAAAATTATTTACTCAAATGTTTTGAACCTATTGGATCTTCCTTAATTTTAGAGCTTTTTTGAATTGTTTTTGATTTTCAAGGAAATCTAAAACAATTGCTTGTTTTTGATTTCCAAGGAAAGTTTCCAAGTTCCGTAAAGTTTTTCTTGTTGTAATTCACTGCCTCTGAACTGTCCTTACCTAAGGTCGACACTCGGTACTGGATGACAACAAGCACGATGTCTTTGCTCATGAGAGCGTACGGCTGATATTCGGCAGCATTGCCGCGCTGGTAAGCTCCTCCGTGGATGAAAACCATCACGGGAATCAAAGAGCTGTCATCTACCTGCAACAAAGTTAAAACGAGAATAGTTAAATCCATTTCCTTAAGTTTTATTTTCCGTGAGGTATGTGTAAAGATTTTGGCTTGGAAAATAAAAATCTCAAACTAAATCCAATGAATTCATGAAGTTATTGGTCATTTTCAATCAGTGTCACGAAATGACGACTCAATAAATCATAACAAATCAGCGCCCAAGATCTTCAGCACCCGCATGAAGTTAAGTTACGTTCAACTTCCGTACATTAGGCATTGGCGAGAAGACATTAAGAAAAAGGCAATCTTCGTCGCCTTTATACGTAGGTCCTCCTCCGCTATACACCGCCACCATGTCTATCTGCGGACAAGATGGAGGGTCCTCCACTGCAAGCAGGACACCTTCCCAGCTCTCTGGTTCCTGCGGCGGCTGTAGGGCAATGGTATATGGCGATGAGATAAATTTTTATGCATCCTTAGAATGTATTGCTATGTTTTAAATGAAAAATCATGCACTAATATGTGATTGGAGCAATATCAGTAACTTTTGGTAGAAATCATCACATTTCAAAAGTGAAATATAGTTTTTTTTATTTATTTCGGGATTGTTGTATGAAACGAACGAAATTAATATAAAATCACAGCTCCAACTGATGAGTGCATTTTTTTAATGGGGACATTTAATGCTCTTTTCGATAGAGGAAACGAAGTTTAAGGTTAACAGTCGATGGCATGTTGCAAATGATTGTAACAGTCCATCTCTAATTAGTGCCGGGCAAATATATGAATTGAGGAAATACTTCTAATTAAATAGAAAATTAAACATTTTCACATTAGGGGTACAATACTGTCATACCTCAAACCTCAAGTCACCAAGAGGCGGTTTGGCGTAAGGGATTCCTCGGAACGAGTAGAATTCTTTACCATTTGAAGCGCTCTCTTTGTAGCCTCGAATTTGGCCCTGAGCTACAGTCACGAGCGTTGGGTCAAATGGGGGAATGTCAGAATGTCTAGTTTCAGTAGTGGAATCTCCTTTCACTTCATCGCAATTAACATGGCTTGCCTTGGAAATTAACACAATTACCACCGATGCCAGAAGTCTTACGGTGAATTTGCAGGGTTGTTTCGTCATTGTCGACTGTTTTTACTGTGAAGAAATTGTTTTTTATCGGTTAAAGAAATCAAATTATTTTTTAATTATTTACATTCATAGTAGGTTTATGTTACCTTATCTCTTGCAAAACGATAAACTACAACTGGATTATAATTATTATTATTTTAAATAATGCAATGTTGTTATTATTTGAGTATCAATTCCAAGAAATCTTTTATTTATAGTTTGAGAGTTTGCGGGGCAGCGGACATCAGGCAAGCATTATTGATAACAATTAGTATAGCTATTACTTATAACAATAATAATTGGTTTTAGGTAATACAAATTCTAATTATTGCATTAGTATTGTCTTTTAGCTGTCATAAGCTTTTGAACTAATTTTCAGGTACCCATAGCAACTACACGAAGGGTAGGATTTCAAGTGAGAGAATTGCCTTGGCCAGAAGTCGTATGGATGAAAGTCCAATAAACCTAAACTAACACTGAGATTTTAAATTTGTAATGATAGTTTTTGAAGATAAAATTTTTAAAATTTATTACTTATCAATGTAGTTTGATAGATACGCAAAACATTAACTACCAATCGGTTAGAAATATACTTCAAATCCTTTAAAACCTTAGTGGGTAACTCAGGATTCGGTGCTGTAGTTTATTGTTATGGCCTCAGTACAAACAGCCATCGCCAGAGAAAGCCAAATTAACACTACTTGAAATACACGCTTTCACTATTGATTGTTCGGCTGCACTGAGACCGCTTGTTAACTTATCTCCTTATCTTACATTCGCGACCGGTGTTATCGGAGGAGGCTGTATCAAGGAGCTTCAATGAAGGCAATGGAAGATATGCAATATTGTGCAATGAAACACTGTAAAGGCTGATCGCATTTTTTACATAAATTTATTAGAAATAATTAATGAGTTGAGGGGTTTTCATTTGCTTGATTAGATAATCAATGGCTATCATAGCAGAAGCATATATATACTGAATGTGTTACATGATTCTCATGAAGCTGTATTTAAATTTTACTGGCCAAATGAGCAATAACAGTAGATTAAAATAGACAAGCGGCGAAAATGATCTTTAATATTTCAATTGAACGTCCGTGTAATTTATTCCGCTTGAAATGAAAAAATATTGATACAATAAACATATTTGCTATCAAGATGTGTCAAAAAGCTTCTCAATACTTGAAGGAGTTTTCTCGTCCGTGTTTATCTTGGGGCCGTTAAACAAATTCCAAGTCAGAATCATTTTTAATTAATTCACATCTGAGCAATCAATCTACACACATATTCATGTTTTCAGAGCTCTCAATCAAAACTGGTTCCAGATAGATACAATGGGCTAATCCAAGAATGGACATTATCCTGCACTATTTGGCGTCGTTTCATAAAATCTCCAAGCAATTTGATTCGAAAACTGCATTTTTTTATGCTCCCATATCTTTAGGTCATTTAGTTCTGGTATAAATGTCTACGAATACATGAAATTAGTATAGTATAACATAGTATTGAGAAACGAAGCAGAGCATAGTATGTTGCTGTTATTGTAAATAACATGAATTAAAAAACGAGTGTCAGGTCAATCACATCATTCAATATATTTTGGTATAAAAGAATTCCTTTCTCCCAAAAAAGAACACATTTTTTATATTGAATCGAATAGTCTTTTTGAATTGATAAGTTGTGCTGGACAAGTAAGGATGAACTGATCTAAAGAGACGAATTGCGAGCAAATTACCTTCCGTAAGTTTTTAATCTGCGAATATTTTAAACAGATTGTGGAATAACATGCATAATTTCATTTTAACTTTTCCATTCTGATAACATTGAAACTTATTTGAAGTTTTTGGTCGAAACCCATTTTGCTTGCAAGTCAATTCTCAACATGTTAATTAATTCTGTTAATTGAAAATTGAATTGAAAAACTAAATTAAAGTCTACATTTTCTTCTAATAGACTCGACGAGTATATATGAACGTATTGTAAAGTTGAAACTGATGGCACTATTTTATGACTCGCATTAACTTTCAGGTTTTTAGCGCATTTTCTCATTTATGGAAAAAATGCACTAATGTGCTCGCCATGTACGTCCGTCCGTCCGTCTGTCTGTCTGTCCGTCCGTCTGCCCGTGACCTCAAGTTTTCGTCGACGAGAAAATGCGCTCTCTGTCACTCACTGCAGTGAGTACTGAGTTATATTTTTTAGTGTTTGGGTAAGTTGACTGATACATCAATGCACTCATCATAATCCTTTTAAAATATTGTCAGAACAGAAAATTGAGTTCGCGTTAGGTTTGGTTTATGAATATTTGAAGTCGCTTCTATCATACAGGAACTAATAATTTATTTTAAGAGAGATGCAAAGGATCCAACTTTTTAGCGCATTATCTCATTTATGGAAAAAGGCGCTATTGTGCCCGTCATGTCCGTCCGTCTGTCCGTGACTTTACGTTTTCGTCAACGAGAAAATGCGCTCTCTGTCACTCACTGCAGTGAGTACTGAGTTATATTTTTTATTCATGTTACTGCTCAGAGTTCGGTGGAATTTCTGCGTCAACGCCATAAGCATTATAGTTATCAGAAGGTCCTTGTAAGTTCTAATGCCATGCCCGTGTAGCTGAAGACTCGGCCTGATTAATAAATGCGCATTCGAATTTCGAATTACATCTTCTAAAGTTAGAGGCTGGAAGGATGGAGATGAAAAAATCTTTCAGAAAACATGATTTTCGAGTTTATGGCCATTACTTGGTGAAGTCTTTTCTCTCGATGATTCCGTTGACGATGTTTTGATTTTTTCGTATTTTGCCGTGTTCGTTCCTGATTTAACCAGATAGTACAAGATCGAGTCCGCAAAAGCGCACGATCGAATGTTATTTTTGACGTTATTTTCATTATTTAAGGCTAATTTTCACTAATTTAATACAATAATCAATTAATAACATGTCTTATCAAAATGATTGTATTGTTTTTTTTTTAATTAACCACTGTGGTGGGAAACGTCACCACAAGCAGTAAGTTCGTTGAATTATTGCCCATAGATACCTAATTCAAATATTTTATCAGACATTTCGGCTATAATACCAGATGGTGTGGCAATATATATTCTTTTGTTAACGAGGGAGACCTGTCACTTATTTCCTGAATCCAATAAGGTATTGGCACTTGCTTGGTTTATATGTTTTCACTAATTGACAATGCGTGTTCCCAGTAAACATATTGAGGCAGCAATAATAACTTTTGAAAACTCTAACCTTTTATATAAATTTGTAGTTTAGTAAATTCAAATGTCGAATGGACCACGATTGCTACTGAACTACGATCTAAACTGAACTGCGGTCTCTATCGGACTGCGATCTCCAGCGGCCTGTGATCATCGGCCTGCGATCTCTATTGGATGCCGATCTCTGCCGGATTGCTATCTCTGCCGGACTGAGATCTTTGCCGGACGGCGATCTCTACAAGACTGCGATCTCTGCCGGACTACGATCTCTGCCGGACTACGATCTGTGCAGGACTGCGATCTCCATCGGCCTGTGATCTCTACAGGACGCCGATCTCTGCCAGACTGCAATCTCTGCCGCACTACGATTTTTTTCTGGACGAGGGTTATCGTATGACTGCAATCCCGTACATTGAAAACGATTGCTAAGGAAATGCGCACGGCACAACTGACATGATCCGGTGCTTCAGTAAAACCTGATCAATAAAATTAATGCTCTCCTCATCTTATTTATTCTCAGAAGTAATGTCAGATCTAGAGGTGAAACCGTACATTATCAGGCAAGACAGTGGGACGCATTTTCTCTTGGTTTCTGTGATTTTTCTGTTTATCTATGCCAGTCAATTATTTCACATTATCTCGTGTACTACTGATTTACGTCAAAATTCGCCTTAATTTGGCCGTTAGGGATGCCGAAAAATGTCATAAAATCTCCCGCCATGCATCATAAACGATTGAGTGCTAAATTTTAAAAAGTTGCTTAATATAGGCGGAATTTATTAAGATAAATAATATTCAAGAATAAATTGTAAACTTTCCCTGTTTGCAAATAAGAAATTTTTCAATTGGTTCTAAAATAATAGTATATAATGTATTATTAAGATATATAAGGCTTTCCTGACAATTATAGATGTATCTCAGCCTTGTAAGCTTCAGCTGATTTGATTGTATAATATGGATGCAACTGTAATTGTCCCGGAATCCAATGAATTTCATGTTAGATTTCCCTGCTTCAAAATTTTGCAGTAAATAATGATAAATACGAGTAATTTATACAGAGATAAATTGTTGGTCATGATTTCTACTGATTAGCTGCTAGGAGGGGGACTGCATTATTGGATCACAGCCATTTGTGTACCAACAATGACGTTCCGGTGCTGCGTACTGGGACACCAGTGTACCAAACGCAATTTTTTACTCAGTCTCGATAAAACAGGGGTGAACGTGTTAACGAAAACAAAACAAATTTGAAAAAAACAGAGCTTCGTTGAAAGTTATAAAAAAACTAAATCTACTAATTATAACATGTCATTGGAGCTTCGGTTTTATATATGTAAACAATTTAAATAATACTATATATAATTGGAATAATAACGTTTGAATACACCGAACATATAGGACCGAGAAGTCAAGAAACAAAAGTCATAATGAATGTTATTTATTTTGGCAAGCATTTTAAATTTGCAGTTTCCTTATAAAATAATTAAAACAAAAAATTAACGCCTTTGGTTAGAACGATGAACAGTCAACTGGTCCAAAAGAGCTTTAATTTAGTTCAGACGTTAGTAATTATTTGAGACCCAGACATAAATTTACCATTCATTCTACTGCAATATCGTGCGCTCCTCAATGTCAATGCTGTCCAGCCAGGATCGTTGAAATTACAGTTCATCCCGAGCTTTGCCGGCGTTCCCATCATCCATTTTTTCCAATTCATCATCTTTATCTTCCAACGTTTCGTCAGCTGAAGTATTCGTGTACGTTTTTCCTTCATTTGACTCCACCACTTGTTCAGTTTCTGTGGCGGTCGGAGCACCAATCGGCGAGTTATAAATGACGGATTTGATTTTATATCTTGGTTTCTATGCACAGAGTCCAAGGGGTTGCTGCCAGCCTAATCACGTAAACACTAAAAAGAAAGCAGTTTTTTTTCGCGGATTTTTTGACGACGATGAGTACAATTGTGAGCTTATCTTCTTATCAGAAATTCAAGATCATTCTTATCTAATGGTGTCCATCGCGAAGAGCATGAGCTTGAATAAGTGCAACAGAAGTGATGCTTGAGACGAAGCGATATTACTGAAGATGATTGAAGTGAAGCAATTGTAATTCTGCTAATTTCTCCATACTCAAAAATAAAAAAAATTATTAAAAAATCTAACAAAACGTAATGTTATACTGTGGTGCAAAACTGCGATCGTGGTACAAGTCAACCATAGATGCCTCACTTCACGATGAAATGTTACAGTACATTTTTCAAACGATTTTCAGTTCGAAACACTGACATGCGAACAAAAAGCTTGACGCGTATGCCAGGATAGCGTTGAAAGTAATAAAATAAAACAAAAATGCGAACAAAAAGCTAGTCGTGCGTGGCAGGATCCCGTAGAAAGTAGCGTAATCAAACATAAATCTTGCAAGTCACTGCCCAAGTGCAGACAGCCGTACCATGCGGACAGCTGTACATCGTATCAATGTTTCCATCAAACATCATTTGTGTACCTACAATGAGAGTTCATATGCAATTATTTTCTTTCTGGTTCGAATCCTTTTGTGTTTCGAACGCAGTTGTACAACGTAATTACAGCAAGAAAGAAATAATTCTAAACTAATTTAGATCATTTGATTAAAATTTGGCATGGTTGCGGGAAATTTCGCGGGCATGTCTTAAGTTTGGATTTTTGTTATCATATAAGCAGGTTAATTCATCTTGTCTTAATTGGAAAAGTTGCGGAGATAAGCTCCTTTATCAGCACCTAACCGTAAAGAACACACGTCTAATTTATGGAGATAAGACAAAATGGTTTATATGTCTTTCGGTTCCCTTATTCACTATATACTGAAGGATTTAATTTCTGTGAAAATTTGAACAATTTCGTATTTATTCTTATTACATTCCATAAGTTTTTGAAGTGATCAGAGAGTTAATCTCCGAAGCTCTTTTTAAATTAAGATTTTGTGAATCTATTTTGTGTTTTTTTCTTATTCTCGGCAAACTTTCAATAAAACTAACTAATAATATTATTGATTGTGCGGATATTTACTTACCAAGATTTAAACGTATAAACTTAAATAACTTCATAATTCAACAATATTGAAATTCTCATTGTTGTAATAGCGGTTAGTTTACATTTTCCTCGCAAATTGTTCTAATTGGAGGTGATTAGGTCTGCGTATTCAATGGCAGATTGTCTACATTGTTCGTATTTAAAATTTTGCGCGGAGCTCTTGTGAGCTCTTACACAGCACGTAAAGGTCAATAAACTAAGCCAAAATCGTTCCGGGTTGATATAATAGTTGAATTCTATAAGGAAAATGAATAGCTTACTGTTGAAATCAGAGATGATGTTGCATAAACTCAACTGCACACCTCGATTTTGTTGAGGGTCACATTTCAGTGGAACGAATTTGCCTTTGGAGAAAAAATACGCATAGACTATAATAACATAATAACCTTCAGTTTCGTGAACCATACGAAGTTCACATATAATTCCTCCAGAGCAAAAAATTTCATCAATTTCTTTGATAAATTTCGACAGACTTTTAATTTTCGACATTTTCAACGTAAATGAACAATAAAGTAAAACCCAAGTCATGGCTAGCTTTGTTCGAGCTTTAGGTTGGCGCATTCATACTTCCAACAAAGTTGAGACTATAATGACATTTTCGTACCTTTGGGAGAATTGCGGTAGTTTTTTTTTTGTGCTTGCTTATTTTTGTCTCATAAGCCACGGCCTTGGGAAATTTTAATGTCGCGCTCATGTAGGGGTAGACTCTGCCAGGTCAAAGAGACATGGATACGAATATCGGAATACTTCATTACTGCTAAATAAAGGAAATACTGAGCCTGCGATTGTTAATTTTTAAAATATTATTTATTGTGAGTGCTACAAGTTGAGTTGAAATTATTCATACCTCCACGATAGGGAAAAAAATCCTGACTTTTAAATAAATATGTCTCAATTTCAATTATTTACATAAATATAGGCATACCATCTGGAAGTAACCATGAATCTTTCAAATGGCCTAAGTGAAAAAAACTGATAAAATTTAGCAATGTGAAAATTAACCGGAAAAGCATGATTTTTGACTAATTCTTTTATTACATTTGACCATTCAGTAGTTATATTATTATATAATTTAAGTGTTGAAATTATTTAACTACTTAAATTATTATTAAATTATTATATAATGTATTTTTTACTCACTTGCCCGGTCATCATCCAGCGCTATGGCGTCGTTTCATAAAATCTCCTAGCGGTTTGACTGCATGCAGTTTTTGACAAATGCAGTTTTTTGTGCTTCCATATCTTTAGGTCTTTATTTATGTTGTTTATTCAACGAAAACTTGAAATTACTGTAGTGTAGCATAGTATTGAAAAACGAAGCAGGGCATAGTATATTACTGTTACTGTAAGTAATATGAACTAAAAAAAACTATTGTCAAGTTGATCACATCATTCCATATATTTTGGTATTAAAAAATTTCAAAATTTCGTTTTCTATAAAATGCTAATTTTTATATTGAATCGAACAGTCTTTTTTTTAATTGAAAAGTTGTGCAAGACAAGATTTTGGAAGGACAAACATCCTCAGACTCGAATTGCGAGCAAATTACTTTCTGCAAGTTTTGAATCAGCTAATATTTTAAACAGATTGTGGAATAACATGCATTATTCCGCCTTAATATTTCCGTTCTGATAACATTGAAACTTATACTTGAAGTTGTTAGTATAATCCATTTTGATAGCAGGTCTATTCTCCACATGATTGTCGATTAAAAACTAAATTGAAGTCAACGTTTTCTTTCAATAAACTTTCGACAAGTAAAGTTGAAATATTAAACGTATTGTAAAGTTGAAACTGATGACACTCTTTTATGACTCGCATTAACTTTCATGTTTTTAGTGTGTAGATAAGTTTAATGATAGGTACATCCGTGCACCTGTCTTAATCCTTTTAAAATATTGTCAGAACCGAAAATTGAGTTCGCGTTATGTTTGGTTTATGAGTATTTGAAGTCGTTCCTATTGTACATGAAGGAATAATATATTTAAAGAAAGATGAAAAGGATCCTAGTGTTTTTTATTCATGTTACTAATGAGAGTTCGTTGGAATTTCTGCGTCAACGCCTTGCGCATTTGTTATCAAAAGATCATTGTAAGTTATAATGCCATGTCCATATGTGGCCTGATTAATAAATGCGCACGGGAATTTGGAGTTACATCTTTCTAAAGTTAGAGGCTAGAGGAATGGAGATGAAAAAAGTCATCAGAGAACATGATTTTTGAGTTTATGGCCATTTCTTTGTGAAGTTATTTCTCTCGATGGTTCCGCTGATGATGTTTTGATTTATTCGTATTATGTCGCGTTAATTCCTCATTTATCCAGAAAGTAAGATCGAATCTTAAAAATCGCACGATCGAAAGTTACTTTCGACATAATTTTTATAGTTTAAGGTAAACTTCCAATAATTCAGTAAAATGATCAATCAATAACATGTTTTAAGAAAATTATGACTTTAATTTTTTTGTTTTTGTTTAAAACTGTGGTGGGCAATTGCCAATATAAGCAGTGAATCCGTTAAATTATTGCCCAAAGAGACCTAATTTACATATTTTGTCAGACATTTCGACTCTTAACACCAGATGATGCAACAATATATTTTTTCTGTTAACGATGGAGGCCTGTCACTTATTTCCAGCTTCAAAAAGTGTATGTACGCATTGGCACTCGCTTGGTTTATGTATTTTCACTAATTAAAAATATGTGCTCCCTGCTAAACATATTGATGCAGCAACAATGACTTTTGTAAACTCTAACATTTTATATGAATTTGTAGTTTAGTAAAATCAAATGTCGTATGGACCACGATTGCTACTGAACTACGATCTAAACTGAACTGCGGTCTCCATCGGACTGCGATCTCCAGCGGCCTGTGATCATCGGCCTGCGATCTCTACAGGACGCCGATCTCTGCCGGACTGCTATCTCTGCCGGACTGAGATCTTTGCCGGACTACGATCTCTACAGGATTGTAATTTCTACCGGACTGACATCTCTACAGGACTGTAATTTCTACCGGACTAATTTCTACCGGAAAAATTGTTCATCTCTACAGGACTGTAATTCCTACCGGACTGCGATTTCTACAGGACTGTAATTTCTACCGGACTGCCATCTCTACCGGAGTGCGATCTCAGCCGGACTACGATTTCTACAGGACTGCAATCTGCACCGGACTACTATTTCTTCTGGACGACGTTATCGTATGACTGCAATCTCGTACATTGGAAACGATTGCTAAAGAAATACGCGCAACTGATATGATTCCGGTGCTGCAGTAAAACCTGATCGATAAAATTGGTGCTCTCCAGACCGTAATTATTCTCAGAAGTAATGTCACATCTAAAGGTGAAACCACACATTATCAGGCAAGACAGTGGGACACATTTTCTCTTGGTTTCTGTGGTTTTTCTGTTTATTCATATTATCTTGTGTACTACTGATTTATGTTAAATTTCACCTCAATTTGACCGTTAGGGATGCCGATAAATGTCACAAAATCTCCCACAACGGATCATAAACGATTGAGTGCTAAATTTTAAAAAATTGCTTAATATAGGCGGGATTTATTAATATAAATAATATACAAGAATAAATTGTAAACTTTCCCTGTTTGCAAATAAGAATTTGCAAACAGGAATAAGAATAAGAAACAGTCTTCTACCAATTGGTTCTAAAATAATAGTATATAATATATTATTAAGATATCTAATGCTTTCATGACAATTATACTTGTATCTCAGTGTTGTAAACTTCAGCTGTATTGATTGTATAATTTGGATGCAACTGTAAATGTCCCGGAATTCAATGAATTTCTTGTTAGATTGCCCTGCTTCAAAACACTGTTTGTAGTGCAGTAAATAATGATAAATACGAGTAATTTATCTAAAGATAAGTTGTTGGTCATGATTTCTGCTAACTAGCAGCTAGGAGAGGGACTGCATTATTAGATCACAGCCATATGTGTACCAACGATTATATTCCAGTGTTGCGTATTGGGACACAAGTGTACCAAACTCACTATTTTACATAGTTTCCATAAAACACCTAAAACTCGAAATTTAGTTGGTAAAGTTTCTCTCTTAGAATATTTGTGTTCACACGAAAGGTTGATTGCAAAAGTTGTGCAATCCGGATACGCGGGGAACGTGTTAACGAAAACAGAATAAATTTGAAGAAGCAAAGCATTCTTTGAAAGTTATGGTAAACTAAATGCGAACAATTTAAATAACACTATATTTAATTGGCATAATAACCTTTGAATGCACCGAGCATGGAGGCCAAGAACTCATAAAACAGAAGTTATAATGAATGCTATTTATTTTTGTAAAAATTTTAAATATACAGTTTTTCTTCTAAAAAGATGTAAAAAATAAAATTAACCTCTTCTTTCAGAACGATGAACAATCAAGCTTTCCAGCAGAGCCTCTATTCAGTTCAAACGTTAGTATAATTATTTTAGACCCAGCGATAAATTTATAATTCATTCTTCTTTAATATCGTGCGCTTCTCAATGTCAATGCTGTCCAGTCAGCATCGTTGAAATTACAATTCGTCCCGAGCCTTACCAGCGTTCTTATCGTCCATTTTCTTCAATTCATCATCTTTATCTTCCAACTTTTCGTCAGATGAAGTATACGCGTACGTTTTTTCCTCATTTGACTCCACCACTTGTTCAGTTTCTGTCGCGGTTGGAGTTGCGTATTTTTCGATCGCGACCTCAGTTGAGTTGGAGACAGACTCAGGGAACAGGACCAAGTTTATCTTCAGTGGAAGCTGTCTCCAGAATTCTCGAAGCTGAATATATTTCAAATGATAAATATTTTTTGATACGATTTAAGCTTCGACGTCAATAACGAATGAGACTCTTCCAGCAAAAATCATGAAATTCTTGAAACCTAAATGTAGATTTCTTCATCTTGGTCATGTATGTATAACACAAATGAATGGAATTCATGAGTATTTTTTCATTATACTTATATGAGAAAAATTCTTCAGAATTACAATTATCTCATGCAACCGACTTTATATCTTTGAAATGAAAGCATTACAGTAGCAACCGCCTACAATGTTTCACCGAATGATTTAAATTTTTAAACAAATTTTCGCGCTCAATAATTCAAACCTCTTTCTTGGGGTCGGATTCATCCATCGCCGGACGCTCGTCGATGATGAACACATGAGGAGCATCGGGGGTGTAGGGTCGCCATTCAGCAGGATGACCGTCTGGTGTGGGGTTTCTAGGACAGAAATACGGGAGTTTTGGCAATCGTGGAAATTTATAACCGCTGTTCACCATTGCAAGCGATTAAAAAGTTTTAAAGGAAAGAATTGACTTAAAAGCAAGAACTAACGCCAGTGAAAGCTTTTGAATGTAATTGAAAATTGGCCGAATAATTTATACGTTGGATAACAAAATGATGGGTTAAAAATTTTCAGACATATTTTGAACTCGTTCAGTTGAAGGGGTAAGAGATAGAAAGATATAACAACAACAGCGAGGAATAGCCCACCCAGTAATGGCGAAGTTGGTCCACAAGTCGACCATGAGGTCTCTCATCGCAAGGTCTTCTGCCGACTTTAGCTCCTGTCCCAGCCATGGGTGATCAGAAGGACCCGAAAATAAGTAAATCAAGTCGTCGCCGTGATTCACGTCTGCGGTGAGTAAGCGAACACTGATATACTCGTATTTCAACAAGCAATTATCGAAAATAAATTTACACATAAACAAGAAAACAGAGAGTTTCTGGAAGGTTAAATCAGCAGGTGCAACGCTATAAGATATTACACTTTTTTACCAGCAACAGTAAATTGATATTTGTCTAGTAGATATTTGACGCGAATAAAGTTCTAATAAAGTAAATAAAAAAGTTAACACGCAAAGTCCGAAAAATGTTATATAATAGAAAGATTTCTTCCTTCACTTACAGCGGTTTTTTATAACGCTATCGAATAAGGAATTTTCGCGCGTCTTGGACAGGTAAGCGAACTCGTACACGAAGAGCTTCTTGCCCCTGTGCGGAGAGCCCGGGTCTGATGCGAGGTAGTGCGCCAGGGAGTCCGACGGGTACCACATCAAGCGGTCGCCCAACAACTGACGAGGTCAAGTAAGTAGATTTCATAATAAAATATCTAATATTATATCATTCTCAGAATATTTTTAATACTGATTATATGTTGACAGTTGCTTTATCATACATTCTTATATTTCGGTGAAGACTATTCAAACTGTAAAGATTGAGTTTGTCATTATAAAGGCCTAACTAAGTTAAGCCAGTGCCTTATAAAATTCGATTAATTCCACCAAAATAAATTGTTAGAATATTAATATTTACTGGATGAATTGACCTAAATAAGAATTATAATATAGAGAGTCCAAAAATATATAAGAATTATAATAAAGACCATAAATGCGGTAAAATTCTTTTATAAACATTCACGCTAAGCATTAATTGTGTGCCCTTAATTTACCGCTCATGTTTCTATATTTACAAACACAAGCCGAATACTTAGCAAAGATACTCACGGCAGTTAAGTCGTCGAGGGATTCTAACTCGAATTCCGCGTTGCCGACATAGCGGTCGAAAAGTTGGACGGTCAGGTTCAGGGGGGCGACATCACCTTCTCCCAAGTCAAGCTGCACAGGCGCTGCTTTTGAGAACTGGGACTTCAACTTCGACCGGAGTGCTTCATCGAGGAAGATCACTGTAGAAAGTACATTCCAGTATTTTCTCTGTGATTAGGAGAATTCATCTACGAAATCAAAAAACACTAATTGTCTATTCGACCTATGAATTCCAAATTTTTTCACTACTATTTGAGGTCAATAAAAAAATCAACTTATCGTATCTGATTGTGTATGAGACAGCGAAAGAAAATGGTAATTTTGCTAGAATTTATTTCAAAACAGTATTGAACTCATAATGGTTACTCTTCATACGTAGTTTTCTTGAACAAAATAAAATTAATTAATCTATTTTGCTAATTTTTCAACAACTATGTACAACCAAATTACATTTTTCGGACAATACATTCTCAGAGTCTTTCATAAAAACGCCATGAATGCTACTCAATACATGATAATAAATGATACAGCAGGTTACTTGCTTTTTGCCCAAATGGATCCTTCGTCTTTAGTGACACCCAACATTATGTCGATCTTCTTGCTGCGATGCTCCTTCACGAGCTGCAGCGGATCTTCCATCAGGAGGTTCTCATGCACGCGCGGGGCCATCAGAAAGGGGAAAGACCCGATTTTCTACGTGAAATCAAAAGAAAAGATACATGTTTTAAATTGAAGGTTATAATTCATGTATTGTATTTACGAAAATTTCGGGGTTTATGTCAATCTAAGCGAAATTATTGATAATTTTCAGTACCACAGGAGAGGTTATGGAAAACGAAGTTGAAACACAGTTTTCATAGTGTGATTATTGGCTAAGCAAACCATCAGACGAATCCAACATGGGAGTACATTCCTTCACAACCTTCTCAGTCAACCGTCTTAAAGTAATTCCATGATCAGCTGAATTTTGCACCTATTTCTTTAATTAGATTTTTGTATTCAGGAAAGTTCGTTACGCAAGTTACGACTGCAACTCACTTCAAAAGCTGCGTATAACTCCACAAGGGTTTGTGCAGGGGCGGCTTTAAGGCACTTGAGCACGGCCGAAGAAGGCAATTGGTCAACCAAGCAGCTCTCGTACAAAAAGGGATTATTTTCATCTCGAGTACACTTCATTTTTGGTTCAATATTACTGCTGGTGCCGCAGTCGAGGAGCTTGGCCATGTGGTAAGCGACCTCGCGGTGGTTGGGGGCTACAGCCCATGACGATATTGCGGTGCCGGACTGAATGATAGCGCGGTGGAAAAGTCCTGAAAGAGCAATCATGGTTGTAACAGTGTAAGTTTTGAAAAAAATAGATCATTCATGATGTTATTGTATATGAATGCTAGGTAATAATAAAGTGCAAAATCAGGAACTATGTTAACGTGCTCCATGTGCTCCAACAATTTAAGAACTGACATAAAATGTTATTGCCTAATGAACTAATAAAATTGCATGTTGTTAGGGTTTTATAGAGCAGTTTTTAATTCGTCAAGTATTTTATATTCAACAAGTATTTTTAGGTTTAGAGAAATCTGTATTTTACGTGCACGGGTTAGGAATGGCAGGCTTGTCATTGTTGTGCGGAACCGAGAAGGAGGGTATCGTGTGTGATCAGGGTAGCTAAGAATCTCTTGGAATGTAAATGTGTGTAAATAGGCGTAAAATCTTAGGCTGTAAACCATGGTGGAAATATATTTTGTGTTGGTCTAAAATTAGGATATTCAATTGTTTATTTATTTATTTGTATTTATTTATGAGTCCATTAGGTTACATTCGTTGATTAATTGTTGATGTAATTTCAGGAAAGCCTCAAGACTCGAGAGGTCAACACATAAGAATTACACCCTTCAATTAAGAAACTCACGTATGACTTGAGCCTTGGGGAGGGGAAGAAAAGGGGTTTGAAGGTAGACACGAGCCACAAATGAGCAAGAGTGTTTGGGTATAGCTGGCGTAAGGATTGAGCCCACAACAATGTAAATAAAGTCGGCATTGAAGAATTACATGTAATTGATCTTTATATCGTCACCTAATGAAGCGTGGGACAGCATCTGCAGATGCACAGAAGCGCCTCCTGCGCTCTCGCCGAATATGGTGATCTGCAGAGGGTTGCCTTTGAAGCTGGGCGCGTTCCTCTGCACCCAGCTGAGCGCCGCTGTTTGGTCCAGGATGCCCATGTTACCTGGCGCTACGTCGTCTTCAGTGGATAAGAAACCTGAAAAAAGTGAATTTATGGTTAATCAAAGAAGTTTCAATCCCTATGCAATTATCATATCACTTTTAAACTTTGCGAGCGATTTGAAAGACGGAAAAGTCATTTACATCAATGAGTAGTTCGTTAACGTGTTTGACTAACGTACAAATAAATTTAAGCGAAAATTATAAATATATTTAAAATTTGGGAAACAATGAGAAATCTTAAATTTCATCATCCGACTAAGAATGAAAAATTGTTACTTATAGCAAGATTTGGCTAAGCTGGGTAAACTTAGGTTCCTTTGATTTCTCCATACCTAATGTGGAGAGCCGATACTGGATGACCACCAGGACGATGTCTTTGCTCATGAGAGCGTACGGCTGATACTCGGATGCGCGTCCACATATGTAACCACCTCCGTGTATGAAAACCATGACCGGCAGTAGTGAACTATCGTTTTCCTGTAGGAGAATTAAGTGCGTGTAGGAGAATTAAGTGGAGAATTAAGTGCGTCAATGGAGGCTAACCAGATCAATTGTGAACCGGCGAGTTTCACAAAAATTTTCCCTTGAAAAATTTATTTCAAGCTAACAATTACCCTGGACGGATCCTTTATCTATATCTATGCACTGGACATGGTTTTGTTAAACAAAAGTCGAAACGTTAGTCACGCTCCCATGATGCGCCACATACATTTGGCATTGGCGAAAAAACGTTAAGGAAGAGACAGTCTTCATCCCCAATGTAATTGATTCTTCCTTCGGCAAGCATCGCCATCATGTCCAGCTGGGGGCAAGCCGGAGGATCCTTCTCTGCAACCAGGACTCCTTGCCAGCCTTCCGCATCCTGGGGCGGCTGCAATTTAAATCCGTATTATTTATGGAGAACTGATTCAGAAGTATTATACACACAGTGATGAAAATAAAAATTAGTTTAATTCATTTGATTCAACGGTTATCATTCGTACATTTATCACATTATTTTTGGGCGACTGATGTAGCATTAGGCAATTGTTTGAAATGTTTACATGCAATGAATCAGATAGTTAAGATTTAAGAATTACGAAAATAATAGTTTCTATAATAATTTGTTAAATGTCCCCGACAGAAATTTTTCACCGATGTCTGAAATCAGGATTGTTTAATAATGTTCGCACAAACTTCCATAAATGGGATCGTGTGGAAACACATTGAATTTCGGACAGAAGAAAGTATCCTTCTTCTCACATATCCAACGTACCTCAAACCTCAGGTCCTCAACGGGAGGTTTAGCGTAAGGGATTCCTCGGAACGAGTAGAATTCTTTGCCATTTGAAGCGCTCTCTTTGTAGCCCCGGATTTGGCCCTGAGCTACAGTCACGAGCGTTGGGTCAAATGGAGGAATGTCTGAAGATACAATTCCATCATCAGCTTCTTCAGACAAATCATCACAATTCACCAGTAACGCCGTGGCAATCAACAAAGTTATCACTGCTAACAGCGATATGCAGGGAAACTTTATCATTTTTTCCATCTTCTGTGCAGTAAAAAATGTTTGAAAACAGTTAATAAGTGGATGTTATGTCAGTGGTATATCCAACATAGGAAAAGCCCTACTGACAGTCGCTACGGGACTCGTTCCCAATAGGCGCTATTTAACCCATCTATTTTGCAGAATGAACACTCTGTAAACACTTGGTTACTGCTCTCTAATTTGGACGCATTGACCACCTTTTTGCTTAAAAATATAAGATTAAACGAATTAAGACGAAAGTATCCTTGATGAAGGAGTCCTTGGAACATACATGTTTCTAGAGCCAAATGCATCAGCGCCTACAACCCCCCCACATACGATGGCCCAACATACAACATAATTTTTTAATGGTCAGTCAACGAACTGAAAGTAAGAGTGTTGTGTGCTCATATCACCTTCTATTGCGGGTCTGTGCACTGCGTCGGTTGAGACAAAATGAACAGCCAAATTTTCTTATGAGATGATCGATTTGCTGTAGTGCCCGTACGATGTGATAGCACTGAGAATGCCAAGCTCCTTATCAATTCAAATTTCTAGTTCATGCAATCAATATGTTCAGGCTTTATGATCTATCATTCTTTGTAAGCAAATTTCATAGGTTCATGAACAACCCATACAGAACAATCTATAAATGTACCTTTGCCTATTAAGAGCTCATGCATCTCTCAGCATTGCTCTGATGGATTAGTTTATTTGTTATTCTTAATGCATAGTAGCTTTAATAGGTTCGAGCGTTCTAAGTTTTTTAGATTCAAGCGTTGCCTGAGGAAAAAACGGCCCGGGAAAAAATTTACGCGGACACTTACAATTCACTATCAAAACATTAGGTATAAAATTATAAATGAGGGTATAAATTACCCTTCTTGATAATATTACGCCTTGCCATAAAATGCAGCCTGAAACTCTCTAAATCGAGAATTATTGAGAACTGTCATTAATGGAGCACCAATCGGCGAGTATAAATAGCGGATTTGATTTCAGATCTTTGTTTCTATGCACTGAGTCCAAGGGATTGCTGCCAGCCTAGTGGCGTAAACACTACAATGTAAGCGGGTTTTTCTCAAGGATTTCTCGATGATAATGAGTACACTTGTGAGCTTATCTTCTTAATTATCAGAAAATCATGGCTATTCTTATCGAGCGCTGTCCATCAAAGAGCAACAGAAGTGCAACAGAAGCGATGCTTGAGACGAAGCGATGTTACTGAATAGTATTGAGAGGAGGCAATTGTAATTCTGCTCATATCTCTTTGGTAAAAAAATGTATAATCTTATACTCTAGTGCAGGACTGCGATCGTGATACAAGTCAGCCTCAACTGCTTCACTTCACGATGACATTTTACAGCACAAAAGTTCTTTAGTTTGAAACATTGTCATGTGAACATAAAGCTCGAATAGCGTACCAGGATCGCGTTGAAAGTATCGAAATAAAACAAAAATGCGAACAAAAAGCTAGATGTTCGTGTCAGGATCCCGTAGAAAGTAACGAAATAAAACGAAAATGCGAACAAAAAGCTAGTCGTTTGTGTCAGGATCCCGTAGAAAGTAACGAAATAAAACAAAAATTTGAACAAAAAGCTAGTTGTGCGTGTCAGGATCCCGTAGAAAGTAACGAAATAAAACAAAAATGCGAACAAAAAGCTAGTCGTGCGTGTCAGGATCCCGTAGAAAGTAGCGTAAGCAAACAAAAATGCTGCAAGTCACTGCCCCCAAGTGCAGACAGCCGAGCTACCGACGCAGCAGCTAGTGAACGGCTGTCCCGTCACCGGCACCGTGAGAGTCCTGTCATGCAGACAGCCGTATATCTTATCAATGCTTCTATCAACTATCATTAGTGTACTTACAATGAGAGTTCGTATGCATTTAATTATTTTATTTCCAGTTCAAATCTTTTTGTGTTTTCGAACGCGCTGGTACAACGTAATTAAAGCTAATTGAAAGTAATTGTGAACTAATTTAGATCGTTTGAAGAACATTTCGCATGGTTGCGGGAAAGTTTGTGGGCATGTCTAAAGTTTGAATTTTTGTTACAGTGTAAGCAGGTTAATTCATAATATCCTAATCGTAAAATTTGCGGAGATCAGCTCCTTTATCAGCACCTAAATGTAAAGAAAATACGTATAATTGAGAGAGAAAGGACAAAATGGTTGTTAGGTCTTATGATTCCAATATTCACTGTTGAAGGATTAAACTCCCGACAAAAAATTTGAACAATTTCGTATTGATTGTGCCTACATTCTATAAGTTTTTGAGGTGACGAGAGAGCTAGTGTAGAAGTTTTTTTCTAATTACGATTTTGTTTCATTTTTTGGGTGCATTTTTTTTTCTTCTGAATCCTCGGCAAACTTTCAAATTAAAATAACTAATAATTTAATTATTATTTGTACGGATACTTACATACTAAGATTTAAACGCATTAACTTCTACGTTTTTTTTTTAATTCATGGCAAACTTTCATATTAAACTAAATAATAATGTATTAATAATTGTACAGATATTTACTTTCAAAGATTTAAACTTATAAACGGCGATAAGTTCATTCATTCAACCATATTGAAATTCTTCTTGTTATAATAGCGGTTCACTTTATATTTTCCTCACAAATTGTTCTAATTGGAGGTAATTAGGGCTGCGAATTCAATGGAAGATTGTCTGTGGCGTTCGTATATAAAATAAATAACACAGCAATTAAAGTTCCATAAACTAAGCCAAAATGGTTCCGGGTCAATATAATAGTTAAATTTTAAAAGAAAAATTATAGCTTACTGTTGAAATCCGAGATGATGTTGCTCAAACTGAACTGCAAACCTCGATTTAGTTCCGGATCAGATTTCAGAAGAACGAATTTGCATTTAAAAAAAGTATGCATGAACTACATAAACAAAAATAACCTTTTGTTTCGTGAACCATATTAAGTTCCCGTAGAAAATCTACAGAAAAAAGTATAAATTTTTTAAATAAAATATGGCAGACTATAAATTTTTGAATTTTTCAATGTAAATGAACTATAAAAAAACCCAAGTCATTTCTAGCTTGGTTCGAGCTTTAGGTAGGCGCCTTCATACTTCCAACAAAGCTGAAACTAATGACATTTTCGCAACTTTGGGAGAACTGTGCAAGGATTTTTTTGGTGCTTGTTTATTTTTGGCTTCTAAGCCATGGCATTAAAGCCGTTGCCCTCGGAAGTTTTAATGTCGCGCTCATGTAGGGGTAGACTCTGCCAAGTCAAGGAGACACGGACGCGAATATCGTAATTCTTAATTACTGCTAAATAATAGTAATACTGAGATAACTACTGTTAATTTTATTATATTTTTTAATGTGAATGCGACAAGTTAAATTCAAATTATTCATACCTCCGCGAGAGGAATGAAATATCCTGACCTTCAAATAAATAAGTTTCAATTATTTACATACGTATATAGGATTACTATCTAGAAGCAACTGGGAATCTTTCAAATGGCCTGAGTGGAAAAAATATAACTTTGTACTTACTGCAGTGAGTGACAGAGAGCGTATTTTCTCGTCGACGAAAACGTGAAGTCACGGACGGACAGACGCGGACAGACATGGCGAGCACAATAGTGCATTTTTTCTATAAATGAGAAAATGCGATAAATATAGATAAAATTTAGCAATGTGAAAATAAACCGAAACAAGCATGATTTTTGGATAATTCTTTCATAACATTTGACCATTCAGTAGTTACAATTATTGAATAATGCCAAAAGAATTAAATTATTTGTGCCATGTACAATTTTAACTGATGAAAGATTTCAGGAATTTGCGGTGAAATTGACCTCTTTTTAAATAAGAAAGCAAAAAACATTGGCATAAATCAAGCTTCAAATTTACAAAATTCCTTTGCTCGTCAAGGTTGATGATGATATAAGCAAAACGTTGTAGCAGCAGCGTTGAGAGTTTACATAGGAGGGAAATAAAGTGGAAATCCGTGAAAATGCGTTTAGTTGAAAAAAAAATTTCCAACCACGTCCAATTTAACAAAAAACAAAGGTTCTATTTCTCAAGGTAATGCGCAATGTTCTGAGCATTTATTGAAAAATTACAGAAGCTCTTGAGTGAACCGGGCAGGAGCAAAATAATACAATTCTATATAAATTAATGTCGGTCATATTTATTTCTTTGTTTCTTCAGCGTTCCTCACAGAGGATTCTCGTACACTTACGAACATCTCTAGCGTTTAAATTACAAAATAAAGCTGTTAAAATTTTAACGGTAATTGAGTACTTATATTTGAGGAAAAATGGTGAAGGTAAAAGTTTTAAATTACAATTCATCCCTAGTTTTCTCGGCTTTCGATTCCTCGTGTCTCGCCAATTCATCATCAGGCTTTTCTGATGGAGCTTCTGTCGGCTCCTGATCGTTACTTGCCGGCACCGTTTGTGGAGTATCATTTTTCGTTGTGATTGACGATTCGATATTTTCGGTCACAACTTCTGTCTCCTGATCGTTACTTGCTGGCACCTTTTGAAGCGTTTCAGTTTCCTTTGTGATTGACGATTCGAAATTTTCGGTGACAACTTCTGTCGGCTCCTGATCGTTACTTTCCTGCACCTTCCGTAGCGTTTCAGTTTCCTTTGTGATTGACGATTCGAAATTTTCGGTCACAACTTCTGTCTCCTGTTCATTACTTGCCGGCGCCATTTGTAGCGTTGCAGTTTCTGTCGTGTTTGGTGAGTCGACGCTTTCGGTCACAACCTCCGTCAAGTTTGTTACGGAATCGGGAAACAGAACTAAGTTCATCCTTAACGGCAGCTGTCGCCAAAATTCACGTAGCTGAAAGTCACAAAAAATCTTAGCCACTGAACATTTTTTTGTGCACAGCAGCATAATCAGCCGTGAGCAGTTGC